AATTTACCATACTCTGACGCCGCCAAACAATTACCTAGAAAAAATGCTGATGAAGTGAAAGACAATCCTGAAATTGACAGAAATAGAAGAAACTTCCTGGCCTTACCAAACAAAACTCCCGATAATGAAATAATCACGGTGAATCAGAGAAGACTATAATAATACAACGCCCATAATAACATATAGAGAGGTTACCAAAAATAAAAGAAAATGTCCGAATAGTCCTGCATATTATAGTGTGGCCCATCAGGAATGCTTCATGGGTGCCCCTTTGTACCCATTGTCACCAATAGTTAACATTAGGTCAGTTAATGCAAACAGTTCACCAAAATCAAACACAGGTAATAGTAGTTCTAGTCAAATAAATGTTATTGATATTAATGAGCTAGATCTACATGAATACCTATCAGATTTAAGTATACCTCTAGATGCTCTGTTAACAATGTCTCAAACGATAAATGGTATCTTACAAAAAAGAGGAATTTTCCCATCACTAAATGCGAACGAACAAAACGAATTAAATATAAGTAACAACCCTCATTTGGAGGAAAATGACACCATTGCGGAGACCAAACCAATAATGGCGGTGGAGGAAGAATGGTAAAGCAAAATATAAGTAGTTCAAGTAAGGTTGTATATGTTTCTTTTTTCTTAAATAACAAAATTCATTATTTTGCAGTGTTATATAAGAAGTGTAAGGTCTAACAATATAAACCTTGAATATTTAATTAATAAGAGGAACCAAACGTTATTTTGTTACAAGAAACATATTTAAAGAACACCATGACTTGGAACATTAAAGAATATAATATATTTCGGAAAGATATTACAGAAGGACACAATGGAATAGCAATTTTGGTTAACAAAGTTAAAAAGACAATTTTTGAGGGACTTAAGCCAAGAAACAGAAAAATTTGAACATATAATTTTTGCAGGGCATTTCAATACAAAAAATCTAATTTTTGGTAACAACAGGAACGAAAGTAACGGTAACATTTTGGTAGATACTATACTAGATGCGGGTTTTAACTGTTTAAATGATGGTAGAGCAACAAGAATAAGCTTGCCGGGTCAAAACAGAAGTGTCACAGACATATCCTTTTGTACCACTAGGTTAGGGGTATTGGGGGAATGGGACATACACCCGTTAGACAAAGGGGACAGTGATCATTTTTCTAGTATGTTGAAATTTAATATCAGTACAAAAAGCGTATACAATAATATTAAAAATTATGAAATTCAGGGAAAAAAATACAATACCAAAAAAATCAATTGGAACGAATATTTTATAGCGTGTCAACAAATTGATTCTCAAACTAAAAGTAAGGGAAATGAGTACATTATGGGTATAATTAAACAAGCTTATGACATTGTAGTTCCGACAAAATATTATAAGCATGAAGAGAAAAAAAAATAATAGTAAAAAGAGGACAATTAATAAATTGTGGGATAGGAATTGTGAGAAAATGTTGGGGGAAAAGAAAAGCAGCAATTCAAACTTATATAAGGGACAGTAGCAATAGTAATTATATTAACATGAAACAAAAGGTAGCACAAACCAAAAAAATATTAAAAAAAAAAAGAATAGTTTTATCAAATTTTGCTCTACACTCAATAGAGACAGTAACTTGTCATATGTATTGAAAGTGATGAAAGGGTTTGGAAGAAACAAGAACACCAAAGGAAAAACTGAATTCATTAGAAATAATTTAGATAACTTCTCAGAGATAGTTACCCCGCCGGAAATTCCAATAGAAATGGACACCATAATGTCAAAAGAAACGGGGTGGGATAAATTCACAGCCAATGATCTTAATGTGGTGTTAAATGCAAGAAAAAGGGATACAATGCCGAGTGCGGATGCTATAGTATATTCTTTGATAAGGGGATTACCGTTTGGTATTAAAGTCAATTTAATTAGGGTGTTTAATGAGTTTTTAGCCGACAAGGAACTCCCTAAAGAGTGGAACACTCAAATAATATGTCCCTTCCTAAAACTTAAAGATCCACAGCAATTAAATAGTTATAGATTCATTGCGCTACAGCCGTGTGTCCTAAAAATCGTGGAGAATCTAATTAAAAATAGGATAAAACATAAACTAGAATCGGAACAGATCTTACCTAAGAAGCAGTTAAGGTTTCGAAAGGGTAGGGGAATCATGGACAATTTAGTATATTTACAATCTATAATATTTCAGGCCTTTCAAAAGAATAAAAAAGTAATGGCAGTATTTCTAGATGTTATGGCAGCATACGATAATGTAAGCATCCCAATACTAATGAATAAATTCGCAAATATTAACATTCCACAACCCTTTATAGAATTTCTTAAGAAAATATTCACCAATAGGAAAGTGATCATCAGGGATAATGTAACAGGGTCACATTCCAAAATCAGGACACACTAGTAAAGGCATTCCACAAGGAACAATACTTAGTCCAATTTTATATGCAGTATACATCAATGATATATACAATCAAACAGTGGGAAGGGTAGATTTACTGAGTTTCGCGTACGATATGATGGTACTAGCGGAAGGGCATGACCTTGAAGAGATATGTCGGAGCATCAACGAAACATTAGACAACATAAGGAACTGGTTAGGGGTACATGACTGAGATTTCAGGTCAAAAGTCTAAAATTTACCTAGTATTGAATATAATCATGAAACCATACCATATGTTCCTACAGTTAAGTATTTAGGGGTTATGTAAGATGAAAAAATGAAGTTAAATGCGCATATTGATAATATAGTCGCCAAAGCCCAAAAGGGAATTGATGTCATGAAACCAGTTGCAAATTATTGGTGGCAGACTCAAAAATGTTGTCTATGATTTATAAAAGTATAGTTTAGGTCGCACCTGGATTATGGTACAATGTTAATTTTTAATACAGCAAAAAGGAACATATACAAACTCGATAAAGTACAATTTAAGGCATTGATGGTTATTTTAGGAGCGATGAGGAGTACCCCCACGGTCTCCTTGTTAGCTGAGACTTGCGAACTACTATTACAGCGAAGGAGAATTTGTTTAGCTGAAAAATTTATTATTAAACATATTTCTCAGAATAGAAGCATTATTATGGAAAAATTAAGTATCTACAGTCTTCAACACTAAATCATCTGCACTACAAACTTTCCAATACTGGAAGGACATATCACAACAAAATTAGAAAGTATGATATTCTACCATGTTTTGTATTACGGGCAGGGAGGGTGGTTCACAGAGGTATCTTGGGTCGATTTGGGGTTACAAAAAAAGAATTCAAATAATCAGAAGGAATTCATGGAAATAAAGAGAAATGGAACAAATATCATGTAGTCTTCACAGACGGATCTAAAGACAAGCAAGCCGAAAGAACAGGTTTTGGGGTTTACTGCGAAAATGAGGGGACGAAAATTAGCGTAAGAATAGCGGACGAGGCTAGCATCTGTACAGTAGAAGTATTGGCAATACTAGTGGCAGTCAAAAAAAAAAAAAAACCAATTGAAATAGGTACTGCCAATACTCTTATATTAACTGATTCAACAGAAAATAGCTAGAATTGGTTTAAATGGACAGTCAGAGTATCCAGAAATATGTGTCAGAGATTCATTGATAGAAGCTAAAGCAAATAATTTAAACATCAAATTGGGATGGATATCGAGTCAAACGAATATTTTAGGGAACAATGAAGCAGATAGTTTAGCAAAACAAAATCTGACTAAAAACAATATTAACTTCAGGATGGTAGATTACAGAGAGATATTAGCTAAAATAAAGGCAAAGAATAGAAAAGAATGGGAAGAAGAACGGAGAGAATTATGTAAAATTAAAGGAAGGCATTACCACGGTATAGTGGGAAAGTTACCCCATAGTTATGGTTTAATGAGATCAAAGTAAGCAGAAAGACAGATACGACATTAAGTTGGCTTAGGTTATGCCACCGTACTACTCCAGAACACCTCCATCAAATAGGAGTCTAAGACTCTTCAAATTTTAGTTGTGGTAATATTGTTGACATATATTGTTGAAATGCTCAAATAACAAACATAGTAGTGATAAGTTTTATAAACTAATGCTTAAAAACTGCATGAAAAATGAAATGGCTTTATGTGTAGAAGACTTGCTTAGAAACCCCTCTGCTTTTAGTGCTTCGCTTTTGTATAAATTCTTAAAAGAATGCAATATAATAATTTAAGAGTTGTTTCAGAACTCTGGAAGAAGTGTTGTCTTAGAGACAGATGCGTAAGAGCGCAGCTTGTTCCATAATTGAAAAACATTTACAAATGGTGCTGGGTAAATAATTCAAAAGAGTTGAGCCCAAATAAAGATAAAGAAGGAGAAGAAGAAGAAGAAAAAGACGAATAGACAGTAGAAAAAGATTTCAGTTGGTAGTAAATTTCTTTAACACACTTATTTAAAATTCGATGTTTTATTGAACAAGACTGGCAAATAATTAGTTAAGATAGTCACTCCGAGATGGCGCATGTGTCATTAAGGCATAACACTAATTCCGCCCACATTCAGTGAGTGTTTCGACTTCTGATTTATTTTTCTATAGACATTGGGTTTTAATCGTCGTGTGTAAGAAACAGTCGCACAAATGAGCATTAGTGGCATATTTTCGTACTGTAAATAGCAAAATTCAAATAAATTTAGGTTATATTTCCTCAAATCAATTACAAATTAAATATTCCTTAATATGTTTCTGGAAAACATATATGAAATATTACAGAATGTCAGTTTACCAAGATTAAAATAATCAAATACTAGTGTGTGAGATGTCTAACTCTAATAGACATGTATTATAATAACATTTCTATCTTTAAAGTTTTACATGCGGGTAAATTTAAAAAAAGCTTTGATATGAAAGAACAAGATAAAGATGAGATAAAAAAAGAAAGTAAAAATATTCCGTTAGATTTGACAGGTAAAAGAAGAAGAAAAAAAAAGCTGAAAATGAGATAAGAGTCAAAGGAAATGAAGGAGACATGAAAGAGGAAGAAAGTACTTACTTTAACATAAGGATCGGATCGATTCCTTTTGGTGTCCACCGGCGCCAAATCTTTGCATTGTTTGATTTGTATTTCTAACGCTCCTGCTTTATAGTTGTACTGAAGTCCAAATTCGACTTGGCCTCTTACCGCTACAGTACCATACCTACCCTCGCCTGCTCCTGAGTACACACTAGCCATGGAGTCGGAGCGTGCCTAGAAAAAAAGGACAAATTAATTTAATTTTGTGACGTACCAATATTAAATGAGATTTTAATTAAACACTTTAAACATAATTACATTCGTACAAAAGTTAAAGGACTAGTGGAAGAAATTTAGAAACTAAAAAAATGTCTAAGTAGTAGATCAAGCAGTTATTGTACAGGGTTATTCAATTGTAGTACAAACACTATAAAGAAAACAATAGCAACTTTTACAAAATTATTTACTTGATGAATAATATACAGGGTGTCTGATTAAGAACTCTGCGGCTGTATCTTAGAAACTATTTATCTTACAGCTTCGAAAAAAATATGTTATAATAAAGTCGGTCAAGAGAAAATGCAAGAAATTATTTTCAAATTTCTATTTTAACCGTTAGAGAGCGTAATTCGCTATGGTAATCCAAAATATCACTTTTCACCTAAACGGTAATTTTACAAAAGTTTTATCCATATTGGTAGGGAGGCTTGGAAACCTTAATATTAATAAAACTATTATAAATACGGTGTCGTTTTTGAAAAACTTAGTATCGATCAAAAGCAAATAGATTGTTTAGTAAAATATTTCAAAATAGTTCCGATTCAGTTGTTTAAACAAGCAATAGGTGGCGTTGTTTAAACATTACCCAATTTTTCGAAGTTTTCTTGAAAATTTTAAATAGAATGTTATAATTTGTGTACGTTATTCAGAAAGAGAATTCAATTCTGACAAGAAACAGTAAAATACAGTTCTTAACATCTTTTTCCTAACGGAATATAAGCAAAAGTCTATTAATGGTGAATAGGCCACCTAGATATTATTAAATAAAATTCTCTATTAAACTAGTTGGCTTTAAAACGTCAGTAATTTTTCGATAGCTTATCTGTAGTGATAAACACACAAAATTATTAAAATCCGATTTTAATTAACTCATTAGTGTAAGTTTATTGGTTTAATAAAACTAAAAATGTGAAATAAAAATCCGATGTGTCCAACACATGACTTTCCTATCTAGTTATTACAGGCTCTTTTCGGTTATTTTGTACAACCTATGATAGCACCTCTGTAACTGTTAGAGGTTAACTTAATATATACATTTTCCACACAACTAACTCAAAACATTTTTCAATATACACATTCATTGCCAACGAAAATACCGAAAAATTTAAATTATATACTTTTCCTCCAACTTTTCCATTTTAGAGAAATCATGTAAAAACAAAAATTATTGAGATCAATATCGCAAACATCTTTTAGTTTAACAATTTTCTTGAAACTCAAAATTTTTTACATTTTAGGAAAATTTTGTATGGAACAAAAATTATAGAGTACAATAGCGGAAGTAACTTTTATTTGAAGAATTTTCTTCTCCAAACTTAAATAAGAGATATATTTAATAAAATATAAAAATGACCCCCTATAAAGTACCCCCCAGATGTTCCGACACTGTCCAAAATGTAATCAGTTCACCCCAGGTGGTCAATTCTCGACTCGTAGGAATTTTTTCCTATAGGAATTTTTGATATTTTTCTATACATCGAAAATTTTTGACATTTTCCTACATATAGGAAAGTGTCACAAATTCATATAGGAAAAGGTTCCTACAAGTCGAGAATCGACGCACAGGTCGAAATAAAGCATACGTTTCAAATTTAAGGGTTTTTTTTATCCTATTTTGAGTTTTGTTCAAAATTCAAAATTTACACTTTTTCACAAATCTCTCAAATACGGGTCCATTTTAGAGAAATTATAGAGGATTATATCACAAACAACTTTTATTTGAACAATTTTCTTAAAAATCTGAATATCTTACACTTTCTAAAATGTCTCGAATACGGACCATTTAAGGAAAATTTTGCATATTACAATAACGGATTCAGGGAACCCCAAAACGTAAAAATCCGCCGAAAACTCGAGGTCGAAAAAAATCATGTTTCCTATACTTTCCTTATATCTGTATACAGATAGGAAAGTAAAAATAGAATATATTAATAACTAATGTTCGCCCAGTGGTCGAAATTCGACCATAATCATACTATATATACTACCTCAGCTTGCACCCTGTCATGAAACATCGAGATTAATCATTAACAGCCCAGAAAAGGTATAGAAAAGGGGCGGGTGAAAAAGGACGGAATAATCTTCGAATTTTTCTTATTTTTCTTTTTTTCTCTATTTTTCTCTATTTTTCTCCTTTTTTTTCTATTTTTCTCTTTTTTTTCTATTTTTCTCTATTTTTCACTATTTTTCTCTATTTTTCTCTATTTTTCTCTATTTTTCTCTATTTTTCTCTATTTTTCTCTATTTTTCTCTGTCTCTCTATTTTTCTCTATTTTTCTCTATTTTTCTCTATTTTTCTCTATTTTTCTCTATTTTTCTCTATTTTTCTATATTTTTCTATATTTTTCTCTATTTTTCTCTATTTTTCTCTATTTTTCTCTATTTTTCTCTATTTTTCTCTATTTTTCTCTATTTTTCTCTATTTTTCTCTATTTTTCTCTATTTTTCTCTATTTTTCTCTATTTTTCTCTATTTTTCTCTATTTTTTTTCTATTTTTTTTTCTATTTTTTTCTCTATTTTTCTCTATTTTTCTCTATTTTTCTCCATTTTTCTCTATTTTTCTCTATTTCTCTCTATTTTTCACTATTTTTCTCCGTTTTTCTCTATTTTCGTTTTTTTTTCTTCTTATTTTTCTTAGTTTTATTGTTTAATTATTTATATAACCAATATCTCCAAATACCACCACCTCCTACACTTAGGGGAGAAGGGGGGGGGGGGGCGAAGTGACTTGTCCTTCGAAAGATCATAATGGTCCGTCTCAAAGAACGTCTAGACAATATAATACCGTTTAAATCGTTAATATCCGTTATAAAATCAATTGTCAACTTTTTGTGGGGGGAAGGTAGTAACGACAAGTATTAGAAATTTAAAATTTTAAAAAACCTACTTCAAAAACGTGCAGCTGCCATCACCACATCTTAACTAAATTTATATGGGACCACCTCTGAGGTACCCCCCTTACTAACAAAAAAAGAATCGTATAAATCGGACAGGGTGGTAAAGCATTATCGCTAAACATACATAAAAAATGAAGAGTTTGAGGATTTTCTCATGGATTATTAGATTTATACCAAATTTATATGGGACCACCACGCTGAACGTAAATAAAAAAAAAATAAAAAAAAATATTGCGACGAATTGAGAACCTCCTCCTCTTTTGAAGTCAGTTAAAAAATGGGATTACATCTTACATTTTGCTCCTCTACACAACCGTGGATGGAGGGAGTAGGAAGGGGGGTTGGATCGAAAATCTCCAGAACCCAAAGGAAAAAAAATTAAATATAATTTTGTTATTGTAAAACTGACTAGTATGCGCGAATTTTTTGCGCACTAATCTGTTAATATAACGCGCATATGTTATAAGCCCCTTGGGTCCATGTTTCTGTATCAAAATTTATCAATTAACGAGAACATTGTCGGTCGAATCTACTAACACCCTGTCAAGGCCGCCGAGAGCCAGGCCGGGCCCCAGGACAATTCTCTAGATCGGTCCCCGTGACAAAAAACAGCTCTTCAAACAAAAACTTTTCCTCTTCAAAAATCCTCAATTTTTCAATTGCTGAATCGGTCCCGTCTACCCCCCCCTCTAGTCGGCCCTGCACCCTGTATATGTGTCCAACTGATATATTGGTTGGCAATAATTTTCTTTGTTAACCACAGTCATTTTCTCTAATAGATAACTAAGAGGCCAATCAAATGAGTGTTCCTCTCATTCTTCACCTCAAAGATCTTTATATTAAACAAAAGAAAAATAATTAAATACCTGTTGCGGTATTAGCCAAAAGGGTAGTTGTTTTCTGAAGGGAAACGGTCGTATAGGGATTCGTGTTTATATATTTTATCTTTATAATAATTTACAAAGATTTACTAAAATATAATATTTATTTCCACAATATATTAACGTTTTATTTTTTTCATCTTCATTTTGCTGTTGAAATTATTGTACTCGTAAACTAGACGGTACAGTACATGGTTTACAACGGTTTCATTTTCAGCGATGGAGCTCTTAAATCAGTCATGCATGCGATGACCTTTTCAAACAACAAAACTCGCCGGTTACAAATGAATTTAGAAACGATAAATTAATCAGAATTGTTACTAAACCAGCCTTAGCGGACTCCGGCGATTTCGTTACGCCGTTCAAAGTCACGTTTTGGCGTTTCAAGTACCCGGCATTCGGCAACGTAGACAAATCTATTCTGTTGCAGCGAACTCATAGTCGTACCATAAACCATAATCACTGAAACGCTCCAAAGGGGTCACGCAGGGGGTTTATTTTATATGCACAATATGCCAAACCGTTTACTGCGCACACCACCCGGCGCTTGGGTGATCTGATGTCCGTTTTACAATAACCAAATCGTATTAAAATGTAAAGCACACTGATTAATTTAATAACATCTCGCTTGGTATCACAAAATAAGTATTAATTCAACAATTTTAATTTATATATGCAAGGAAATATACCACTCTGTACGTGTACGTGTATTATTGCTGATCGACACCGGTGCGGGGATTCACAGCGACCGGCTGGAGCGTCGGCATATTCACCTACTCAGGCTCAGGACTCAGGCAGTAATACTAAAACTCCCATTGAGATTGAATGTATATGTAATATATTTCACTAATAGATTAATAATTATAACGTGTAGAGTGTTATTTTTACATCCCGAGTACCCGATACATCCTCCAACAACGTGATTGTAATGATTTAGGAATTGTTTGCAACTTTTGGAAATCCCAGAAGAGTAATAACAGATCCTGCTTCTGCATTCACTTCAAAATCGTTCAGGTAATTCTTGACAGATAAAAATATTAAACATTTTACAACAGCTGTCAGGTTACCTAGAGGAAATGGTCTCAAGTGGAAAGAACAAACAAATCAGTACTCGATGCGCTCGCAACCACTGGCTCAGGGTCTAATACAAACAACTGGGATACAAATGTAAATAAA